GGTGCGATCAGCTGGTGCTCCGGCACTATGCAGCGGCCGAGATGGACAAGACCTGAGACCGGGAGAGACAAGCAATGGTAGATGTTTCCAAGGGCAGATGACAAGCGTTATTAGCAGATTCATGCATGAACACAACTGCCCACGTCGGTTGTGATGCTTGTGGATCGTTCATTTGTTGGTTGTTTGGTAGGTCGTGTCACTTCTTCCCTTCATTGACCCTGTTAGCTTCCTTGTATCATGCATGTGACCTAGAGTAAGTATACTTGACTGCTCGGGATCAACTAAAAATAATTCGAAATGTCAAACACGAGCAAACTGGAGCAGCACTAGCAGATAGTAGCAGCTACGGAATGTCAGAATATATGCCCTGACCCGGCCCTGGTCCACTCAGTGCCTAACAAAATGCACTAAAAAAATACTATCATTACACAAGAAAAACTGTACTAAAACTGCCAACAGCCGGCCGTGAGACCAAGCAAAGTAATCAAAGGAATCGGCGGCGACGTTTTTAAAATTCGGATGAAATCATGACACGTCGCACCGACGCACACTGCGGCAGGTCAAAGCGTGGAGTGCTGTTTAGCTATGCAGAAGTGAGTATGGTACCAAATTAATAGAGGATTAACTATGACTACTACTAGTATTAGCTCCTTTTTAAGCTTACATATGCCCTGCATTAGGCTCCTTTTGCTTAACTAATTGTACAGCGACCGAAGAGCAGCAGCAGGAGGAGGAGGGGAGGCAAGAGAAGTGCGCTTGAGAAAAGGAAGGTTCATGTCATGCGGCAGGTTTGGTGCGGACCATCGGAATCCGGGGTGTACGCGTCCCTAGCCACCTACGGCCACCAAACTGCATATCATACTGTTACGACTATACGAAACCAAATGACGCCGGGAACAATATCTACACGGTCGATCGAGGAAGAAGCGTCGGAGTCATCGCGGCCGGAGCGCCGTCGCCATCCGAGCGCCGGCCCATCGATACGTCGGTCGAGCAACCATGCACGTGGATGTGGGGCTGGCTGGGCTCGGTGAGTGAAGAAGGTGCCTGCCTCGTGTTTTCAAATCGCTTTGTGCCGCCGCGCGCACGGGCACCGCGGGGGCAAGTACAACGAGAGTGCGCGGCGGCGCGCGTCCCGTGCGTTCGCACGTCAGAACCATGCGGACGTACGTATGGACCGAAATTCGACGCGGGATTACGAGAATGGTGCGTTTTGGTTCTCATATCCTGACTGACTTATAAATGCACTTGTTCACCGTTCGACGTCGTGAAGGATCGTCCCGTTTGGTTGCAACAGGTTGAGGGTCCTTTATTTGAAACGGAAATAAAATGTTTGTCAAATCTCATTAGTTAAGAATTAGGGTCTGTCTAGGACACATCTAGATGTGACATAATTTATGTCACATCTAGGCAGATGTCCATTTTGTTTGTGGTCTAATTTTTGTTGTCCTAGTTTTTTTTTGTTTCTTGTTGTTGCATTATGTATTTGTGGGAGCTTAGATGTGACATCACTAAAAGACATCTAGATGTGAATTAGACAAAGTGTAAGAATAATATTGAGCTAAAGAAAAAAAGAAAAAAAAAACAGGGGGTTAAAGTTAACGTAGAGGTAGAGAGCATGGCTATGCAAGCAAAATTTAGTGACAGAAACATCAATTGCTATATTCTTTTTCACTTGCACAATGCCTAGCTGGTCGGCTTGGAAAGTCTTTTCTAGAGTAGCCATGACATTCACATTAAACAATAACCGAGTTACAAGAACATCGTTAGAAGATCTAGGGTCACATCATTGTCGAAGAGGCTTTTAGGGCCGAAGAACATGCCCACAGCGAGCGGCAGAGCACGAATCGATGTGACGCCGCGCTAGCCTAATGCGTCGCACCGCTCCAACGAGTGGATCCTTCCTCTACAAACCACCATTCCTGCTCCAGGAACACCTATTCGCCATGGCTATAGGAGTCGCCACAACATGCAACAACATTCAGCAACGAACATAAAAACTAAATTCATTTCCCCAAGAGAACGACTAGTACATGAAACCACCGGCTCTTCATCGACGCCATGGAGAGCATCTCCGTGGTGAGGAAGAATTAGAGACAAAATTATTCTACGTGTAGTTCTCACCACCCCGCCGCCACCAAACGAAACAACCATTATA